AGAGGCTGTGGATGCCCCGTCCATCCCTGGAGGTGTTCAAGGCCAGGTTGGATGGGGCTCTGGGCAGCCTGAGCTGCTATGAAATGTGGATTTTGGTGGCCCTGCATGTGCTGGGGGTTGGAGCTTCACAATCCTTGAGGTCCCTTCCAACCCAGGCCATTCTGTGATTCTGTGAGAGGAGCAGAGTGGGTGCTGCACATCCCCCTCCCCGCAGCACAGCACTCACATCGAAGAACGCTTTCTCATCCACCGTCTTTGGGGCTCCCATGGTGGGGGTTCCGGGTGTGATGGATTCCACCTCGGCCAGATCGATGACACCTTTGCACTCCGTGTCCATCCGGCTGTCGTAGTACCGCAGCTGGGGAGAGGCCCACGTTGTGCTCAGCACCCAGGGATGGAGCACTGCGGGCCTCCCCCCTCGCCCGCCCTGCCCGACCCCTGGATACCTGGTGCTTGGTTTTATCCAGCACGAACCAGCGAGGCTTCCAGGGCTTCATGAAGGCTCCCTTCTTGTACAGAGACCCCTCGTAGGACCTGTGGGGTCAGGCAGTGCCTCAGCACCATCTGCATCACCCCAGCACCACCGCAGAACCCATCAAGCCGCCCCTCCCTGGGCAGGTTCCCACCCCAGTACCCCACGCCTGCCTGTTCTCGCTCTCTGACATCTGGAACTGGTTGTACAACGTGCTGGTGCTCCTGCGGCCGCCCTGCTTCCCGCTGGATGGGGTGGATGTGCTGCTGGTGTCACTGTCGAGGCTGAGGTTGAGGGTGGAGCCCACGCCGCTCTCCTGCAGGTACACCCCCAGCGAGCGGCGGTGGTGCGAGAGCCCCGAGGACATCAGCAGGGAGCTGGGGGTCTGCGGGCACAGAGAGCACAGCGTGAGGACGAGGAGGTTGAGGGCAGTGCCAAACCCTCAGCCAGCCCCTCTCCAGCCCTACCCGGCTGCCCTCCTGCCGAGCTTCGGTGCGCTGAGAGGCTTTGATTTTGTCCCACGTGTCCTTCCAGCGCTCCGGGACCTGCCCCAGCTCCATCTCCAGGTTGTGCAGGTCCTGTAAGAGGAGCAGTTAGGCATCAGCACAGCCTGCCTCCATCCCACGGGGCACAACTGACTGCAGACGTGTCCACGGGGCACTGCCCAACGCAGGGGTCATCACAGAGCCGCTGAATTATAGGACCACAGGATGGTTGGGTTGGAAAAGATTACAGAACCACGGCATGGCTTGGGTTGGGTTAGAAGGAACCTTATAGATCACAGAGCCATAGGAGGTTGGGTTGGAAGGGACCCTATAGAGCAGAGCCATAGAAGGTTGGGTTGGAAGGAACCTTATAGATCACAGAGCCATAGAAGGTTGGGTTGGAAGGGACCCTATAGAGCACAGAGCCATAGAAGGTTGGGTTGGAAGGGACCCTATAGAACAGAGCCATAGAAGGTTGGGTTAGAAGGAACCCTATAGAGCAGAGCCACAGAAGGTTGGGTTGGAAGGGTCCTCACAGAGCACAGAGTCACAGAACCCCAAAACAATTTGCCTTGGAAGGGACCCCAAAGCCCCCCAAGTCCCCACCATTGCCACAGGCTGGCTGCCCCCCACCAGTTCTCTCCCCTCAGCCCATCAGCTCCCAGCTCACCTCCAGCAGCTTGGAGATGGCGTCGGGCTCCATGCGGCTGCGGTTGTCGTAGCAGGGCCAGATGATTTTGCGCTTGGTTTGTGGTGCGCTGGTGTCCTGCCTGTCTGCCTCTTCCATGTGCTCAGGCTGCCCCTGCACCAACTCCCAGTCGTAAGAGGGGCCCTCAGAAAGCGTCTCCTCTGTGTAGTAGTCCCACACCTTCAGGTTGGAAATGTTGCTGTACGGCCGCAGCACCTGAGGGGGGTGACAGCCGGATCAGTGATGGTTTTCTCTCCCACTGCTGGTGTTCTCAGCTCAGTGTTGGGATTCCATCCCTTCACACAGAGCTTCCCCAACAGGTGATGCTTTCTTGTTGGTACAGAGGGGATGTGAGGATGTGGGCTGTCAGCAGAGCAGTCAGAGCTGCTGCCAGCATGGGGCCTGGAGGTGATGAAGGCTCTGAGCTGCTCAGCCCCAGTCCCAGCTCACCACACAGCACAGCTCCCTGCTGGGGAACATGCTGAGCTCTCTATCCATGGAAAGATGGTTCCAAATTATGTTGATATGGGGACCCTATCCAGGCCCAACAGCTCCAGCACAGGGTCTCCCCCTGCCTGAGGCTCCTGGCAGTGTCCTGATGTGCCCTGAGCCCCCAGCCGGGCCGGGCAGAGCTCTCACCTCCCCATCCTCGGGGGCATACATGTAGTTGAAGAAGACAGGAGCTTTCTTGTTCAGCCTGTCGATGTAATCCCAGATGGACTTGTAGACCTGCTGGCATTTGCGTTCACCCTTCTCCTCATACAGGAGGCCTGGTGGGGGGGGGAGGGGAGGGAGGGCATTATATGGGGCAGGATGTCAGGATGGCAGCCCACACACCCCACACGCTGCCCTCACCCAGCTCGATGCGCTCGTAGTCAGAGTCCAGCAGGAAGGTCCGGAACCGATTGGAGATGTAGTGGTAGCTGAGGAACTTCAGGTAATACAGACTGAACTCAAACTCCATGGGGAACTGCAGGTGGATCTACAAGAAGCAGAACGGCTGAGATCCCGGCACTGCTGCAGTGCTGGAGCTCAGGAAGAGCTGGGAGAGGAGCTCAGAGCTCACCTGGTGCACGCAGTCTAGGAACTGCAGGAAGATGGGAGCAAAGCCACTGCTCTGGCCAGCCAAGGTCTGGGCCCCACGGTGGCTGAAGCGGTGCCCAAAGGACAACCACTCCTTCTCCACCAGCAGGCGGAAGCCCTCCAGCGTCCGGTAGTAAGGGTCTGACAAGAGCTGCACCAAGGAGACCACCTGCAAGGACGTGGGGGCTTGAGATCATAGAACCAAAGAATGGTTTGGGTTGGAAGGGTCCTTGCAGACCAAAGGGCAATAGAATGGTTGGGGTGGAAGGGACCTTATGGATCATAGAGCCATAGAATCCCAGAATGGTTGGGTTGGAAGGGACTTTATGGATCACAGAGTCATAGAATCCCAGAATGGTTGGGCTGGAAGTGACCCCCCCATTCCCACCCCTGCCATGCACTGGATGCTCCCCACCAGCTCAGGCTCATCCACGGCCTCAGGCACCTCCAAGAATGGGGCACACACAGCTCTGGGCAGCAGTGCCACGGCCACACTGCTCTCATGGTGAAGAATTCCCCTCTAAAATCTTACCTAAATTTCCCCTCTTTTAGCTTAAAATGAACAGCCATAGCATCCAGTGGCTGTAGGGCTCCTACCTGTGTGGTGATGTCCCAGCCGTCCTCCAGGCTGACAAGCACAGAGGAACCCGTGTCCAGGAGCTCCACCACCAGCACTGAAATCTGCAGGATCTTATGGATCTGCCAACAAGAGAACCAAGAGTTTCTCAGGAGCAGGAAACTGCTGGATGCGAGGCAAAAAAGCCCCTTTTCCTGGAAACAGCTGAGCCAAATGATGCAGAGCACAAAGGCTCTGCAGAACACAGCTGTGGGCACCCGTTCTCCCCCAGCAGCCAGAGGGGCTGGGCCCCACAGCTCTGAAGCTGAACAGAGTTCTGAAGCAGCTGCTGGTGCACACACATTCTGGGCCACTTCATCCTCGTTCCTCTTAGTGGCCTTGCTTGCTTTGTGTCCTCCCACCCTGTGCCAGGGAGCATCCAGACCCTGCTTGCAGCCTTTGGTTCACAGAATCACGGAATGGTTGAGTTGGAAAGGTCCTTAAAGATCACAGAGCCACAGAACCATAAGATGGCTTGCTTATACTTCAGAGTCACTGAACGGTTGTGTTGGAAGGGCCCTCAACACTCAAAGTCCCATAGAATGGTTGGGTTGGAAGGGTCCTTAAAGTACAAAGACCCATAGAATAGTTGGGTTGGAAGGGACCTTAAAGATCGCAGACTCACAGAATGGTTGGGTTGGAAAGGTCCTTAAAGATCACAAACCCACTGAATGGTTTGGTTGGCAGGGACCTTAAAGATCAAAGTCCCATAGAATGGTTGGGTTGGAAGGGTCCTTAAAGGCCAAAGACCCATAGTTGGGTTGGGAGGGTCTTCAAAGGTCAAAATCCCATAGAATGATTGGATTGGAAGGGTCCTTAAAGGTCACAGACTCATGGAATGGTTGGGTTGGAAGGGACCTTAATGATCACAAACCCATAGAATAGTTGGGTTGGAAGGGACCTTAAAAATCGCAGACTCACAGAATGGTTGGGTTGGAAAGGTCCTCAAAGGTCAAATTCCCATAAAATGGTTGGGTTGGAAGGGTCCTTAAAGGTCACAGACTCATGGAATGGTTGGGTTAGAAGGGTCCTTAAAGATCACAAACTCACTGAATGGTTGGGTTGGAAGGGACCTTAAAGATCAAAGTCCCATAGAATGGTTGGGTTGGAAAGGTCCTTAAAGGTCAAAGACCCACAGTTGGGTTGGGAGGGTCCTCAAAGGTCAAATTCCCATAAAATGGTTGGGTTGGAAGGGTCCTTAAAGGTCACAGACTCATGGAATGGTTGGGTTAGAAGGGTCCTTAAAGATTGCAGACTCAAAGAATGGTTGGGTTGGAAAGGTCCTTGAAGGTCAAATTCCCGTAGAATGGTTGGGTTGGAAAGGTCCTTAAAGGTCAAAGACCTACAGTTGGATTGGGAGGATCCTCAAAGGTCAAATTCCCATAAAATGGTTGGGTTGGAAGGGTCCTTAAAGATCACAAACCCACTGAATGGTTGGGTTGGAAGGGACCTTAATGGTCAAAAATTCCACAGAATGGTTGGGTTGGAAGGGTCCTTAAAGGCCAAAGACCCATAGTTGGGTTGGGAGGGTCCTCAAAGGTCAAAATCCCATAGAATGGTTGGGTTGGAAGGGAGTCCAAAAGCCCACAGCCCTGCAGCAGCCAACTGCAGCCCCTGTCCCAGACATGGATTGGGATCTCCACAGCCCCCAGGAGCCACTGACCTGTGAGAGCCACTCGGACTCCTCCAGGGAGCGCAGGTAGGCGACGCTGGGGTCTGTGGAGGGGCAGCCAGGCACACAGGCCTTCATCAGCTTCTTGAAGCTGGCCTTCACCTGCCGCACGTCAAACACCTCGATGGGCACCACCTCCCAGTGCTGCAGTGGGTCTGGCTTCACCCCCTGAGGGCACAGAGCATCACAGAATCATTAAGGTTAGAGAAGACCTCTAAGATCACCCCCAACCCCAACCCACCCTTACCATGTCCAATGACCACGTCCCCAAGTGCCACATCCTTGGGGATGGGGACTCCCCACAGCCCTGGGCTGCCTGTGCCAGTGCTGAGATTGTTCCCAATCTCCAATCTGATCCTCCCCAGTGCACCGTGATCCCATCCCCTCTCATTCCTGGGAGCAGAGGCTGACCCCCATTGCCACAACGTCCTTTGAGGAGGTACCTTCAGCTGTGACTTGTCCCCGATGATGTAGAGCGAGGCGCGGTGCTGACGCAGGAAGCTGGCCTCAGCGGGTGCACCGTTGTGCTGGGCACCCAGCAGATCCTTCCCAGCCAGCCGTGAGCCAATCTCCACATTCAGGGCATAGCTGCTCATACGCCCACTGGCCCGGATGCTGCCCCATTTGCCTGCAGGACAGCTGGTGTCACTGGGGGGGGTCCCATAAACGGGAGGTTCGGGGCCACCCGGATGGGTGAGCAGCTCTCCGTGGAGTGATGGCCAAGCACTCCAACCACACACCAGCACCCATGGAACACATGCGAGGTTTGGTGCAAGTTTGGTGCAGGTTTGGTGCAGGTTTGCTTTTGCTCCTTTCTCTGCTGGGTGCTGCCATGTGCAGGGAGTGCCCCGTGCTGATGCCATGCCCTGCAGCTAGCCCCTCTCCTCCACCACCGCCACCCAGAAGTGTGCAGAGCCCAAAGCAAACCTGCAGGGCGGTGTGGGGCAGTACTTACCGCCGGCACCGCGCTTGGATGGTGCAGTTATGGTGTTACTGGGTGTTGTTAGTGGTGTGTGTGGGGGGGGTGTGGGTCAGTCGGTGGGTTAGCAGCCGGCTGGGTTAACGCCCGGCGGGTCCCTACCTCGGGGCGACTCGCGGCCCTTCGGCGACACGCACTTGGGGGTGGACAGGGTGATGACCCTGGCTCTGTGACCCAGCCCTGGGGGCACAGGATGAAAGCGGCCTCAGAGAGGGTGGAGAGGAGCAGAACCAACGTTCCCTCGCTGGGTGGGTATGGGTGGAAGGGATGGGGGTGATGAGATGGAGATGGGTATGGGATGGAGATGGCACATAGGAATGGGATGGAGATGGCACATAGGGGCTGCAGACGGTCCCTCCCGCCCGCCTTGCAGTTGCCCCACACCCTGGAGCTCTGGGGGAGCACAGGGGGGAGCATCTACTCTACAGCTGCTGCTCGGGAGGCAGCGCTCAACCACACGTCCTCACCTCCACGGCTAATAGTCCCGGGCCCTTCGTCCTTCCCTCCCATCACCTGCTTCATGAGCGATCCCAGCTTAGGCTGCCTCTTGTCGGAGAAATCTGCAGCACCAACAGAACGTCAGCTCCCAGCCTGCGTGCTGCGGGACCCTCCTTGCTGTTGCTTCCCCTCAGTTCAGAGGGGAAAGGGCATGGAAAGAACCCAGCGGCAAGCAGAACAGCGCGGGGCTGCACCGGGGGCCACCAAGCAGGAGCCACAGCACAACCGCACCAATAGACCTCAGCACCAGCAGCTCTGCCCCAGCAACTCTGCCCCAGCAGCTTTGCCCCAGCAACTCTGCCCCAGAAGCTCTGCCCCAGCACTATGCAGGCACTTCGGACCGGGTAAACCACTTCTCCAAACCCCAGCACCATCCCTCTGTGACCACAATTCCCTTTCTTCCTGCAGCAGGGAGCCCTTTGCCGGGATCCCTTTGGCCCCAGTGCAGCAATGATGGGGTGGGATGGCAGGGACTGGCAATGGATGATAATGGAGCGTGGCCAGAGCCGCTCAGACAGCACGGACACAACACTTACCGCAGCATCCTGCACCAGACCCCACGCTGCTGCTTGGGTGCAAGAGCTTGGCTTCGGGGTCTGCCCCATCCCAGCCCACCCCCCGTGGATCAGGATTCAACCTGGAGCTCCCAGATGTAGGGCCAATGGGCTCCCCAAACCCCATCCCCCTCCAGCCTTAGGGAGGTGCTCCACAGAGCTGAGTCCATGGTTGTGGGACCCAGCAGTTCTGGCTCTGGGATGCACCAGATCCCGGGGGTCCCTGTGCAGGAGCCCCCCGAAGTCCCCCAGCCGATCCCACTCACCTGCACTGCTCATGTGAGCAGAGGTGAAGCCACTGAGCGTGTTACGCCCGCTGGCATCGGCGTAGTGGGGCATGGAGTTGATGACAGCCTGCAGGTATTTCTCCTGTTCCAAACTGGTGGAGTCCGTCTGCGAGGGACCTGGGGGAGAGCAGGCAGCGTCACCTCACCACCAGGGCAGCAGGGAGGGATGGGGCACTGCTCCAGGATGGGGTGAAGGGATGGGTACCTGCAGTGGGAGCATTCTGTGACTTGAAGAGGCCCACGACACCCTTCCCATGCAGCCCCCCCGAGCGCAGCAGCACGGCTTTGGTGCGGGAGTTGCGCCAGCACACCACGGGGAAGCGGTTCTGACGGTAACAGCGGGAGATGCGCTGGATGGTGTTGTCCTGGATGCTCTGCGGCACGATGAGCAGCCCGGGGTAACTGCAGGAGAGAGCTGAGCTGCAGGGAGCAGTGCTGAGCACACCTGTGCCCTTGCCAGGGCAGAGTAGAGGGGCAGGAGAACCTCCCTGCCCTGCTGGCCACGCTCTGCAGTGCACCCTGGGGTCCAACTGGCCTTATGGACTGCCAGGACACAATGCTGGCTCATGGTCAACGTGTGGTCAACCATCGGTCAACTGTTGGCCAACAGGACACCCAAGTCCTTCACAGAGCTTCCAAGCAACTCTTTGCAATGCACTCCAAGGTCCAATTGGCCTTCTTGGCCATCAGGGCACACTGCTGGCTCATGGTCAATGTGTGGTCAACCACTTGTCAACTGTTGGACACCAGGACACCCAAGTCCTTCATAGAGCTTCCAAGCAGCTCTTTGCAATGCACTCCAAGGTTCAATTGGCCTTCTTGGCCATCAGGGCACACTGCTGGCTCATGGACAATGTGTGGTCAAGCATTGGTCAACTATTGGACACCCAAGTCCACAAAGCTCCTTCCAAGTAGCTCTTTGCAATGCACTCCATGGTCCAATTGGCCTTATGGACCACCAGGACACAATGCTGGCTCATGGTCAACGTGTGGTCAACCATTGGTCAATTGTTGGCCACCAGGACACCCAAGTCCTTCACAGAGCTTCCAAGCAACTCTTTGCAATGCACTCCAAGGTTCAATTGGCCTTCTTGGCCATCAGGGCACACTGCTGGCTCATGGTCAATGTGTGGTCAACCATTTGTCAACTGTTGGACACCCAAGTCCACAAAGCTCCTTCCAAGTAGCTCTTTGCAATGCACTCCATGGTCCAATTGGCCTTATGGACCACCAGGACACAATGCTAGCTCATGGTCAACGTGTGGTCAACCATTGGTCAACTGTTGGCCACCAGGACACCCAAGTCCTTCACAGAGTTTCCAAGCAGCTCTTTGCAATGCACTCCATGGTCCAATTGGCCTTCTTAGCCAAAAGGGCACATAGAGAGCTCCTGGTCAACTTTTGGTCAACCATTAGTCAACCACTGGTCAACTACTGCTCAACCAGGACACCACTGGCTACCTTGGCTACCAACACACTTTCCTGGCTCGTGGTTGGGCTCACCTCCGACAAATGGCGTACATGCGGTTCACCGTGGAGATGCGGAAGGGTTCGTTCTTGGAACGTGTGAGGCTGCTGCTGAGTGTGCCCAGCCCCAGGCGCTGGTAGTCGCGGCAGCAGGCGCGCTCCACCAAGTGGTTGATGGTCATCTTCTCTGAGGGTCTGATGGTTGTGGTGGGTGTCAAAGTGCTCCTGTCCATCTCCTCGGACACTGTAGAGACAATGGGGGTCTAGGTCAGCCCTGGCACAGATGATCAAAGAATGGTTTGAGTTGGAAAGGACCTTTAAAGGCCATCTGCTCCAACGTCAAAGGCCTCGCCACAACTCCAGGCAGGTGACATCAGTCACCCCTCCTTTGTCCACCGTGGCAATGCTCCACACAGCGTCTCTCCCATTCCTGCTCCCAGTTCCCTCCAAGAGTTTTCTCCTCCCCAGCACCCTCCCAGCTGCTCCCTCCCCTTGGGATGCTCCAAACCTGAGATCTCATCCTCGTTGTCCTCCGGGAAGTGCTGGCTGCTGCGCTGCTCCCAGGCAGGCGGTGTGTATTTCTTGCGTGTCACATATTGGCGGCCAATGGTTTTCTTGGCATTTTTCACCAGGTTTTTGGAGAGCGTCCTGGAACAGGAGAAAAGTCTGAGGATGGCTGATACCCGTGTGTGGCTGCAGCCCAGCACTGCAGCAGGTCCTGGTGGTTAGAGAAACACCCGCGGTGACACCCAGAGCAAAGCAGAGACGGGAGCACCCTGACCACCATCTGCAGCCTCAGTCAATGCCACCGGAGGGGAGATGTCACCTGCAGGTCCTGGCACCAGGGGAGTGTGCTCCATGGGGCTCCAAACCCCAGATAAAGCCAACAGGCTGGGCTGGGCGCACAGCAGCCTCCCATGGAGCAGCATCCTGGGATATGACACCTGCACTACTACATCTGAGCTCTCAGACACCTCTATCTGTTACTCCCCCGGGTAATCAGAGAACCACAGCATGGTTTGTGTTGGAAGGGACCTTAAAGATCTTCCAGTCCAGCCCACGTGCCATTAGACAGGTTGTCCAAAGCCCCATCCAACCCAACTCCAACACTTCCAATGATGAAGTATCCTCTTCCAACCCAAGTCCGTCACTTCCAACAATGGGGTATCCCCTTCCAATCCTACTCCTAACTCTTCCAACCCAACTCCAATACTTCCAGGAATGGGGTATCCCCTTCCAATCCTACTCCTAACACTTCCAACCCAACTCCAACACTTCCAACTATGGGGTATCCCCATCCAACCCAACTCCAACACTTTCAGTGATGAATGATACCCTTCCAACCAAAGTTCAACACTTCCAACTATGGGGTATCCCCTTCCAACCCTACTCCTAACACTTCCAACCCAATTCCAACACTTCCAACAATGGGGTATTCCCTTCCAACCCAACTCCTAACACTTCCAATCTAACTCTAACACTTTCAAAATGGGCTGTCCCTTTCTAACCCAACCCAAACACTTCCAACGATGAGTATCCCCTTTCAATCCAATTCCAACATTTCCCCAGTTGGGGTATCTTCAACTTCTCTGGGCTGCCCTCAGCGCCCTCAACATGGAGAATTCCTTTATCTCAAGGTGGGCTCAGTCCCTGGGAACCCCTCTGTCTCCCACCGGCAGAACAGAAAAGGCATGGAAGAGAAATCTTCAAAACCATGCAGGTGCTTAGGCTGCATGGTCGAAGCAGAGCTCTTGAACACATCCTCCTGAAGGTAAGAATGGTCTGAGTGTGTGCAGGGCCGCAGGCACATCATCATCATCTCAGGGAGCTCCAAGAGGATCAAGTGAAGGAGAAGTAGGGGAATGGCTGACTCCAGCCCAGGATAACATCTCATCTGATGCTCAGATTTCCAGCAATTCACCTCTAGTCTACCAGGTGACTTCCTTTGCTTTGCAAAGCAGATCATGAGGAATACAACTGCTCCCTAAACTTATCAAGGGAAGAAAAGCTTTGGGACTGAGAAGTAACACTGTCCTAAGAACAATTTGCCATGTACCGAGGCAGGTTTCAAGTAAGAGCGCTTAGTAACCAAAGGAACAAGACCTGCAGACAGTGTGGGGGCACAGATGGAGGTAGACCTTTGGGCTGGCGATGGAGCTGATATCAAGATCTAGGGCTGTGCCCAGGCCAGGAGCTGGGCCCTGCAGCTCTGGTGGCCTCTAGAGGTTAGTGAGAAGAAGCACAGCTCCCTGAGCACGTCCTGGGGCACGAGGACGGCCGCTCCTGAGGCCCCAAGCCTGAATGTAACACGCAGCCTGGACAAAGGCAATCCCGGCGTGACCGACCCGCAGCCCAGGCATCATGCAGAGCAGGTGAGAAGAAACCCCAGGAGCAGTGAAGGCCGCAGCCTGAGCCAATGCCACCTCGCAAGCTCGCGCCCAGAGGTGAAGGCATCTTACGTGGTCGAATGGCCAAGGTGCCCGAGGGACATGACCCCCACTGTCAGGCCCTGGAACATATCGGTCACCTGCTGGGAGCTGAGTCACAAACACACGGAGAGAAGCTCAGACTGCGGGCACAGCAAGCGCCAACACCGCAGCACCCAGAGCCCAGAGCCACAGCAGAGGTTCCCCTGGCCACAGAGCGTGGGAGCTGACCCCATGGCAGCACAACACAGCTTCCACGGCCCCACAGCACTCCCCATCCTCTGGCAGAGCAGGGACTGCACTCCTGTGCTCGCTGGGATGTCTCTCCCTCCTTCTGCTTTAGCCCAAGACAGCTGTGCAGGGAGAGCTGCTGAATGCACAGCATGCACAGAATGCAAAGCATTCCCAGGCCTGAGTGCTGCTTCCCTCTGTGGGAAAACCCAAAGGTAAGCAGAGATCCTGTGCAAGCTCTGGGACCCCTCGCTCCTGCCCAGGAGCCCATGTCTAGTGCTTCCCTGCTGGAGGAGGGAGAAGAGAACCCCAGCAGTGCCTGCGAGGGCCAAGCATGTCCTGTGAACTACTCTCCCTGATCTGCTGCACACATACCTGAGCGAGGGGTTCTTCTCCTTGACCTTGGGCTGCATGGCTTGCTTGGGAGACTGGCCCACAGTGAAGGCGAAGGTGCCATGCACATGCTGGGGGTAACGCAGCTTGTGCAGGTGCTTCCTGAAGACCTCGGCGCTGTCTGAAGCCACCTCCTCATCGAAGGCAATCTTCAGCAGCTGTGGGGACAAGCAGAGAGCAGGCTTGAGAGAAAGCAGACAGCATCCTCCTCCTGTTCTTCCCACTGGGCACAGCTCAGATCCTGGCCAGAAGTGATGGCCACAGGCAGGGGGCTGCCCCGTTGTCCCCCAGGAGCACACTGTGTTCCTGTCAAGCACTCAGCAGCCACATGCTGTTGCTGTGGTGTTCCCAGAGTACAGTTCCAACAGCCCCATAGGAGCTGAAAACCAGCCTCCAGTTAACCAGCAAGATGCTGCTCCTATAAGAGGACTACAACTGGTCCTGCACCAGGTCCACAGCCCTCCTCTGCAAAGAGCCCTCAGGTTCCACCACCTGTCTCTGAGGCTGCCTTTGGTCCCTGCCACCCCAAACAGTCTCACCTGGAATGTGCACGAGCGCAGCTGCAGGCCCTCCTGGATGAACTGATCCACCTGGGCCTGGATGTTGATCTTCTTCTCTTTGGTCAGCGAGGAGATGGGGAAGGATCGGATCACCACCTGCTCCCCCACTGGGTAGAATGGGAACGGGTTAGCCACATCCCAGTGCCACTCTGAGACACCCCCACCAGACAGTCCCATAGGATGAGAGGGCCAGAATCAGGTTAGAGAAACTACAGCCAGGCCATGGAGATGCAACCTATGATGGGCATGATGAAAATATCATCTACAAAGAATCACAGAACGGCTTAGGTAGAAGGGTGTCTTAAAGATCATAGAATCACAGAATGGCTTGGGTTGAAAGGTACCTTACAAATCATTACAGCCACTGAATAATAGAATGGCTTGTGTTGGAAGGGACCTTATAGATCAGAGAACCATAGAACGGTTGGGTTGAGTTTTGTTGGGTTGGAAGAGTCCTTGAAGATCACAGAATGACAAAATGGTTGGGTTGGATGGGTCCTTATAGGTAACAGAGCCACAGAGTGATTGGGTTGGAAGGGATCTTATAGATCACAGCACCATAGAACAGTTGGGTTGAGTTGGGTTGCATTGGAAGAGTCCTTGAAGATCACAGAATGACAAAATGGTTGGGCTGGATTGGTTCTTATAGATGACAGTTATAGAATTGTTGGGCTGGAACGGACCTTATAGATCACAAAATCATAGAACAGTTGGGTTGGGTTGGAAGAGTCCTTGAAGATCAGAGAATGACAAAATGGTTGGGTTGGAAGGGACCTTACAGACTACAGAACCATAGGACGGTTGGGTCGGAAGGAACCCCAAAGCCACCAGCCAGCGCTGTTGTCTTGCACCCAAGGACCTCAGAGGTGACTCCTACAGCAAGGCAAGTTGCAGCCACTGCTTCAGGATGTCTTCTGGCCACCTCCTCCCCAGACACCGCCAGCCCATGCAGACAGAGGATGTGGTGCATGCATGATCCTTACCCAGGGGGTCTGTGGGAGTGCCTTTGAAGATGATGCGGTACGTGGTGAGGAAGATGGCTCCTTCCGCAGGGAGAAGAGGTGGACCACCAATATTCCCCCCGGCGGCCTCCTCCCGCCCATCGGGCATGAGGTACACACGCAGCCCCTCCATCACACACTCCTCACCCACCAAGAGGTTGGGGCGCAGCAGCTTTGGCTACAGGGGTGTAAAATGAGGAGTTTAGGCTTCTGAAGACTGGAAGAACAGCACCAGAACGTTCCCCCGAAGCGTCGCACGTCAGGTCAGTACCTTCTGGATGGGAGGAAGCCTCTTGCTCTCCCTGTGCACAGCATCCAGTGTCTCTATGTGCATCTGCACAATATCTGTGGACAAACATGCAGTCAGAAACCATGAGCTGTCCCACAAATCACCCGGGCTCCACCTCTTCGCAACCCCACTGCCTCTTCCACAGCCCCTCCTATACAGTCCCCGCAGCTAACAGGGACCCCCAGTGGAACCAAGCAGCCTCCCAGCCTCAGCACTGCTGCAGGGCCCATTACCAGGGATCATGACATGCAGCCCCTTCAGGTGCTCGTTGGTGACTCCGCTCTCAGTGCAGACTTTGTCCACGAAGCGGTTGATGAACCGCACCACGTAGTTGGCCACATCTGAGCTTTCAGCATCCTCAAATCCACTTTCCGTGTCGTAGCTCTCGGCCACGCTGCCAGCGATGCTGCCATGCAAGAGAGAGCAGTTAGCTCAGAGTGTTCCTCTCCATTGCCTTAACCCAGAGCAGGAGGGCCATGCCCATGCAGGAGAGCCCAAAGGAGATCCTTCTCTTGAGATGAACCTAAACCCAAAGGAATTTCCACTCCTGCCCTGGGCAGTGTAACTTGCATCGATCCCTACTCGAAGTCAAATAATCTGGATGCTCCAAGGTGCCCCAAGTCCCCAGATTGGGCTGCTCCACTCCCCCTGCAGTCCTCCAGCCCTCCTGACCTGTTGGTGACAAAGCTGTTGCTGACACTCTCCACATCCCCCAGCCCGGAGCTGCGCAGCAGGCGGTTCTTGCTGGTGTCCAGAGGCAGCAGCAGGTAACTCATTCGGTTGGCATAGTGGATGGCCTGGCTGAAAACTGTGCTCTCCTCCTTTTGGATCAGTTCTTGCTGCTTCTCTCGGCTCATGGTAGGCCACAGCCTCAGCTGTTCTGATGCTATCTCAAGGGCAGACCTGGCTTCTTGGGGTTCCTCCGTGCTCTCCTGAAGGAGTTGGAATGAATGTCAGAGGTCTGCATGGACAGGAGAGCTGCCAGCCTTCACAGGGCTTTCCCAGTGCCAGGATGCAGTCCCTCGGGCTGCTTCCAGCACCCCACCCATCCCACGGACATAAGGGGAGAGCTGCCCCCGTGCAGCTGCTCTGCAGGAACCCGGCTGCCCCCACTCACCTCGTCTGTGTGGTTCTCCTCACTGCTGTCCAGGTACAAGGCTCGGATGTGGTTCTGCACATCACTGTAGAACATAGCTTCCCAAAACTGGATGTTGGTCCACACCACGTGCTCCTGCACACAGCTGTAGGCAAACTGCGTGATGCCTGGGCTCAGTTTCTGAGGAAGCAGAAGATGGATAGAAGAGTTTTATCTGAACGCAGCTCTTGTGCCAGCCTCTCCTCTCCAGATCATTCTTGCTCTCCCCTGCTGCTGGGAAAGGCAGCGTGCCCTTTGGCACACAGGAGGGACACCAGCACCACAGTTCCTCCAAGCAGTCCTTGCAAACACTTCTCAGGTTTGCTTAGCACCTATCCTGAGGGCCCAGGAGAGCCTCATGCTACAGATGCTTTTTGGAAGGCAGAATCTTATCAAGCATTGCAATGTGCTGCTCAGGGCTGTGGTAGAGTCTCCATCCCTGCAGACATTTAAGGGACGTGGAGACGCAGCACTAAGGGACTCAGTTTTGTGATGGGACTTGGTAGGTCAGCTTGGTGGTTGGATTTGATAATACAGAAGGGTTTTTCTAACAGATAACTGTGATCGTAGCCCAGCCTGACTGATACATGAAAGCACCCCCAGTTCTGAGCAGCTTTCCCCAGGTGTTTCAGCTCGGCCAAGCTCATGCATGGGCAGGATTCCACACCCCAAGAAACACCAAGGGGACAATCTGCCCCTGACCCAGTTTATGCAGCCTCCAAGGAGTTCTGAGGCTGTGAGGACCACACCAGACCATGGGACACTGCAGATACTCACTCGGCAGAAAGCGGTGACCAGCGGCAGGAGCGCGGCTGCAATCCCATGCTCATCCATGGCCGTGCAGTCCTGGGGAAAAGAGCAGAGCTTACCAGGAGGATCCACTTCAGGATGCCCAGGTCTGCTCCCACCCCCACCCCACACTTTCTCCCACACTGGGTGATGCTCTCCTTCCCTACCTGCAAGCAGCAGTTCATCATACGGACGATGAAGTCGAACTGCTGGTGGTCCAGCACGGCACGGTTCTGCTGCACGTGCAGATTCAGCTCCTGGGTCAGGCAATGACGGGCTGCTCGACCTTTCATGGCACGCAGCACAGCAGGAAATAACTGCAGGGAAAGATGGGGACCAGATGAGCTCCTGAAGTCAGGGTCAGCCCCCAAGGAGAGGTGCAGGAGGGGCACCCCGCCCTGGCTGTGTTGGCTGACACTGTGCTGTCACACATGGATCAAAGCAGCATGGTCCACAGCATCTGGGTAGCTGTAGCACAGCCCCTGAGCTCCAGGCTCAGCCACCTCCACAGGACAGACCCTGCAGTGGGGTGAGCAGCCAAGAACCCAGGGACACAAGAAGAAGGAAGTGCCCAGAAGACATGTGGGCATGGAAACAGAGCTGCCCAGCAGAGATCTGCATACAAGCAAGGAATGCCATGGAGGAGAAGCAGAGAGCCCTCACCACCAGCTGATGGCTGCCTGCTTCTCGGGAGCCCTCCTCACCTTTTTGGCTTCTAACATTTTGTTCTCAAAGACATAGGTGATGCAGTTCCGAACCACCTCCAGGCGGCGGGCGCTGTTGGCCAAGGCATTGCCATTACGCTCCATGATGGCTGCTGGAGAGAGAAGCAATGTGGTTCAGGCAGGGCAGGGATTCAGCCCAGGAGGTGGAAGAATGGGTGCCCCAATGCTCCACACAGGCAGTGCTGTGGAGGACACTGATGGGACTTCAGTAGTCCTCTCATGCTGACTGATGGAGCTGAGGGACCTCTGAGCAGCCAGAAGGGGAGAGGTTAATGGGGAGAGTGATGCTGAGATGATGGCACTACTCAAAAGTACAAGGGCAAGAATAGAGTCCTGCACCTGGGGAGGAACAACTACAGCATTAGGACAGACTGGGGCTGAGCTGCTGCAAAAGGGCTCTGTAGAGAAGAACTTCGGGCTTCAGCAGGCTGACCCATGACTGACCACACGCTGATCATGAGCCAGCAGTATGCCCTGGTGGCTCAGAAGGCCAATGCGTGGCACAGAAGATGGCCAGCAGGGCAGGGAGGTGCTCCTGCCTTCTAATCAGCACTGCACCCAGTGTGGGACTCCCCAGTTCCAGGCAGACTGGGAACAAAGAGCCCAGCTGAGGGTGCAGAGATGGTGGGGGCATGGAGCAGCTCCTGCTGAGGACAGGCTGAAACCCCGGGACTGTGCACATGGAGGAGAGAAGGATGAGGTGAGTCTGAGCACACGTACCAATGGGGGGGCCTGAGGGCACCATGCACTTCTTCTCTGCTTTCACAGCTGGAGGAGCTGTCTGTAGCTTGGCTGTGGCCTGATCAATGATCCACTGCACTGTGCCTTCATCCAAACGTGGGAAGGGCTTCTGGTGCAGGCGCAGATGACAGCCTTCAGTGGGCTTCTGCACCTTGTGCATGGTCACGGCAGGGTATGGGTTCTCCTGGCAGAGCAAAAAGAGTTTCTTTTCAGCCACGAGGAAGTCGTGCATCATCCCACAGGCTCACAGGGGCATCTCACAGCAGCCTGTGCTCCTCTCCTCTCCCAGCAGCACTTTGCAGCCCCCAGAACCTTGCAGTGCTGAGGGCAGGCTGTCGGCACACAGTACCATCATACTCTGCTCTCAGGAGCCGCAGGGACAGCATGCTGAGCACACAGCAAAGAGCAAAAAGCCCTCAGGAGCACAGGGCTGGGATGGCTAAGGGCACCCTAAGCCAGTCAGCACGGGCAGCAGCTGCTCCAGAACAAGCGGAAGGAAGTAACTAATGCCCAGACCACCAAAAACAGGAATACCTCCACTCAGGAAGCGAGGGAGAGGCTGAGGCCAGGCAGACACCCTGGGGTCCAGCAGCAGTTTCCATAACAGTGTTTCCAGCACCAGTTACAGTAACATGAGTGGAGGAAGGACAGATGGACATGGGCTCTCAGCCAAGTTCTCCCAGCCCTCCCGTCAGAGCAGGTTCCCCTCCTGCACTCACATTTTTGTAAAGTTTCTCTGCCAGCTCCTTAATGTGCCGCAATATTTTCTGCTTGTTCCCCTCTTCTGCACGCATGCGCTTCACTTCATAAGCAACAAGCTGGAAGAAGAGATGGGTGAGAGGAGCAGCTGCCTGCTGGGCAGGATCCAGCATCCTACGATTCCCTGGCTCTGTCCCCAGCAGCCTCCACCCCCATCCCCAGCAGCCTTCATCCCCAATAGCCTCCATCTTCCATCCTCAGCAGCCCCCATCCCCAGCAGCTCCCAACCTCCATCCCCAGCAGCCTCCATCCCTCATCCCCAGCAGCCCCCAGCCCCAGAGGAGCGCTCACCTCATCGAAGAGGTCGATGGAGCGGTACGGGGCTCCCCGCTCTGTCACAAAGCCTGCAAAGGCCATGCCCTCCAGCACCTTGGTGAGGAAGTCATCCTCTGTCAGCCCCCTCTGCCCCAGGAAGGCTGCCTGCAAGAGGGAAGCACGGTACCATCAGGACAGGAGCTGATGCCACGGCCACGCTGAGCTTGCATCCCTCTGCTCCCGTTGCCTTCTGCTGCGTTAGGTTTCCTCCACAGAACCCCAACACCTCCCATGTTTTCCTCCTCTCCTGCCTTGGCTTTGCCAACAGCCCCAAGGCGCTGCTGTTTCCTCTCCCCGGGTCTTGCTTCCTGTCTCCAGGCATGGGGAAAAGCCGTGGCTCAGCCCAGACACAGCCCCAGCTGCACTGTGCTCGGGCATAAACAGGGAAACGGTATCTGACCCACACAACCTTGGGACACTCAAGGACAAACAAGGGATGCAGGTGGAGCTGGCAGTGGTGCAGAAATCACCTGCTGGAAGCACGAGACTTTACTTCCAGACACAGCTATATTTATGTGACCCTTTCCACGCATTCTCTCTCCCTGACCTCAGTGCAACCCACTACAAAAAGAGTCATCCCACGGCCACGCGGGGCAGTGTGAAGAGCTGTTCTGCGATGTGGCCATGAGACCTTGGAGCAGAGATGCTGTAGGAGTGCGATCCTGCTCTATGCTGGCCCCCTCCCAGCACCAATGCTGGGAGCAAGGCCAGGCCCATGCCCACATCCAGGCCATACCTTGTGGAAGCGGATGACGGGTTCAGGATGGATGCGGATGATGTGCAGACACCAACGATAGCCCTGCAGCAGCTGTGCAAACAAGCGAAGGAAGACAGCCCGGATCTCCTTGTCCTGTGCAAAGGGATGGACAGTGCAGTCAGGAGGACAAAGGGCTCACGGGGCAAAGGGATCACAATCACGTGTCAGGATCAGCCTCTGCTGAGCAGGGAAGGAAACTCAGGGACCTTCTAAAGAATAGAGGAGGTGGGAGATAGATTTCCAGTGCTCTCCCCTTCCCAGCATCTCTGAGATCGCATGCATGCAGGATGCCCTTGTAGCCCTGTGAGGAGCTCTTGTAACCCTGTGGCTACTTGTGGAGCTCCCATCCCAGAGCAGGGTGCTGGGTGCCTGGCAGGGATGGCAGCCTTGTGCCTGGGCTCTCTGCTTCTCGAGGCCCTGTGTTGCCCCCATTTACCCACCTGCATTTTGAGAGATGAAGCAGAAATCGTAGAAGGGGGGAATGCCAGATCTGCCACCTCCAGCTCCGGGTCCAAGACCTGCAGATAGGCACAAGGCATATTTCAGGCCCTGGGGATCTGTGCTCACAGTTGGGAAATATGAAGCTGCGTTCCCCAGAAGCTCAGCAGGACCCACAAATGTGTTCTGAGGGGCCCAGGGACAGACTTGCAGCAACTGGTAGCTATGGGAAAGGCTTCTGCCATGCCAGGGGCTGCCCACAGCCAGGTACAGTGTGTGAGGCCCTGACACAGCCTGCCCTGAAAGCAGCATAGATGTCCCATCCCTGCAGGTGCCATGGATGGGGTCCTGAGCAGCGTGAGCTGGTGGGGGGCACCCAGCCCATGGTAGGACTGGGGCTGGGAGTCTCTGCAGTCCCTTCCCACACTACCATTCTACAATTCTATAATTCTGATTCTCTCCAGCTGCTGTTTGGCTGCACTGTCCCAGCACCCACTCTGCAGAGCCAGCAGCCTGGGAATGCTCTCACAGCCAGCAAAGCAGCTTCAGGGCTGCAGCTGCTTCCTGCCCGAGGGCTGGAACCCAGCCACCTGATTCCCAGAAACCTTTGGCAGATGAACCCCCAAAGCACAGCCGTGCACCAGAGGCCACCATGGCCAACAGGATGACCATGAGGCAGCACTGTGCCCTGGTGGCCAGGGAGGCCAATGGTGTTGTGGTCAACCAACAGCTGACCAATGGTTGACCAACAGTTGACCAAAAGCTGACCAGGAGCCAGCAGTGTGCCTTCGTGGCCAAGAAGGATAATGGGACCCTGGAATGCATTACAAAGAGGTGCTTTAAAGGAGCTCTGTGGAGGACTTGGGTGTCCTCGTGGCCAACAGTTGACCACACATTGACCATGAGCCAGCAGTGTGCCCAGGTGGCCAAGAAGGACAATGGGAGCCCAGAGTGCATTGCATAGAGCATGGCCAACAGGACAGGGAGCTCCTCCCTTCTGCTCTGCCCTGGGGAGAGCACAGCTGCAGCACTATGCCCAGTGCTGAGCTTCCCAGTTCAACACAGGAACTGCTGGGAGAGCCCAGCTGTGGTACTTACCATGGAGAGGGCTTCACGGGTCTGCTGAAGGAGAGGCTCAGGGAGCAGGGAGATGTGCACACACTCAGGGACATTCACTGTGCCCCCATCCAGGTCTGCGATAACAACATCCAGCTGAAAGGGGTGAGACAGGAGTGAGACAATGCCAAGCCATGGCCCACACTGGTAATGGTGAGCTCACAGAGAAAAGAGCCAAAGAGGGGATGTGGGGAACAACAATCTGTCTCCTCTCTGCCCACTGCAAGCTCAAGCATTCCAGCCCTCAGCAGCTATTTTCTCTTATCTATTAAATACACAAACACTTGTGATAGATGAACTGTAAGGGGTTCCCATCACTGCCTGCCATGGAGACCACAAGCTGGGTGAGCTCTCACAGGGAACACACTGACATCAGCCTCAGCACAAACTCCTTCCTGCTTCACCAGAACGGCGCTGTTCAGTTTGCTCAGAAGGTTGCACAAAAGCTTGTTTCAGTTGAGATCAGGCTCATTATGCTTTCATTTCATTCAGTTTCTACACTGAAGTCTGTCAGGCTGAAGTGCCAGCACAGCTTCTTGGACCAATGCTGCCAGCTGAGCTTCAAAATCAAATCCTCAGTTAACCCAGCTGCTGTGGCATGGAAAAGAGACCTGACCCAGGCAGAGCAGCCCCAGCCATCCTGGAGCACAGCCCAAGCTGGCAGCCAGCACAGCACCATGAGCATGAGCTGAGTGCTCAGCTGCTGCCCGAAGCGGGGCTTGAGATGTGGCTGCTCACATCGGGACAGGCTGGGGGCTGAGCTGCTGTAAAGGAGCTCTGTAGGGAAAGACCTGGGGATCCTGGTGGACAGCAAGCTGACCATGAGCCAGCAGTGTGTCCTGCTGGCCCAATGGGACCCTGGAGTGCATTGCACAGAGCGTGGCCAGTAGGGCAGGGAGCTGCTCCTGCCCTCTGCTCTGCACTGTGGGGACAAGCTGCAGCACTGTGTCCAGTGTGGGGCTCCTCAGTTCCAGGCAAACTGGGAACTGCTGGAGAGAGACCAGCTGAGGGTGCAGAGATGGTGGGGGCTTGGAGCAGTTCCTGATGGGGGCAGGCTGAGAGCCCTGGGGCTGTGCACATGGAGGAGAGAAGGCTGAGGGGAGTCTGAGCAGTGCTGGTGGATATCTGAAGAGTGGGGGTAAGAAGGAGGGGGCAGGCTGTGTTTGGTGGTGCCCAGCACCAGGACAAGGGGCAGAGGGCACAGACTGGAGCCCAGGGAGTTCTGAGTGTGAGGAAGAGCTCTGTGCTGTGAGGGTGGCAGAGCCCTGGCACAGCTGTCCAGAGAGGTGGGAGAGTCTCCTCCTGTGCAGAGATCCAAACCTGCTGGGATGCTCTGTGTGCAGCTGCTGCAGGGAACTGCTGGGGGGTTGCAGTGGGGGAGCTGCACAGGTCCCTTCCCACCCCCATGGCTCTGAGTTCTGTGATCTCATTGCTTCCCTTGCTGCCAGCTCATGGGGCCTCACCAGCTCTTGTGTCTCCGACTGGAAGATGGAGTGGACCCCGATAATGAAGGGTGTCGGCGTGCTCAGTACCTCCAGGAGCTGTGCAGGCAGGATGGGTACGTACGTGAAACTGCAACAAGAGATGAGCATTGCTGCAGCCAGCTGAGCCCTGCCAGGACCTAGCATCTGCTCCCTGCCCTCCTGGGGGAGCACAGCCCAGCACCATGCCCACAGCACTCTCCCGGTCACCAACACCCTTCCAACCCAACCATTCTATCATTCCATGCTTCTGTGATCTTTAAGGATCCTTCCAGCCCAACCATTCAGTAGCTCTATGATCTACAACGTCCCTTTCAACCCAGCCACTCTATGGCTCAATGATGCAGTGACACACAGAAAAGGCTCCAGGGAAGGAGCTCTGAGAGCAGCCACGCACACCCTTCACAGTGCCCACCCTGCACCAGCAATGTGTACAGCACAAATAATTACTGCCCAGGTAATTATGGAGAAAGGAGTGTTAGCCCAGGTAGTGCTCCAGCTCAATCTGAGGCTTGAGGCTCATCTCTCACCTGTACTTAAGGGGGAACATAAGTGCAAGGAGAGCCCGGCAGGCATCAGTGAGCCGCTGGTAGCTGCTGGAGAGAAACAGGATCTTGTGCTCAGTGAGCGCTGCACAGAAGAGATACAGCACATTGGTGATGCCTGGGGAGAAGGGAGAGAGCAGTGCTCAGAAAGAGGGTTCCCCTCCTGTGCTCTGGGACAGATCCTCACAAGCACAGCAGAGGAGTTGACACCCTCCAGGGGCGCACCCATGGAGCCCCATCCCTTGGAAAGGCACTCGGAGACCTCACTGCAGCCTTCAATGCTTGAAGGAGCTGACACACAAGAGGAGGGCAAGGGCAGCTCTGTACACAGAGAGCAATGGGACATGGGGGAATGGCTTTAAACTGGAAGAGGGGAAAATGGGGTCAGATATGGGGGAACTGCTTCACCCAGAGGCAGCTCTGGCACTGCTGCCCAGAGCTGTGGGTGCCCCATCACTGAAGATGCCCAAGGCCATGGATGGGGCCCTAAGTAGTCTAAGCTTGGGGGGGGATCCAGCCCAGGACAGGGGTAGAGCTGAGGGGTCCCTTCCAACCCAACCATCTCACGGCTCAATGATCTATAAGGTCCCTTCCAATCCAATCATTCTATGACCCTATGATCTGTAAGGTCCCTTTCAACCCAACTACTCTATGGATCTATAATCTATAAGGTCCCTTTCAACCCAACTACTCTATGAATCTATAATCTATAAGGTCCTTTCCAATCCAATCATTCTGTGATCCTATGATCTGTAAGGACCCTTTCAACTCAACTACTCCATGGCTCTATGATTTATAAGGTCCCTTCCAACCCAACCATTCTATGACCCTATGATCTATAAGGACCTTTTCAACCCAGCTACTCTATGGCTTTATGATCTACAAGGTCCCTTCCATCCCAGGCCATGCTGTGATTCAGTGATTCTACAACCTCTGCCCCTACCCACTGCTAGCACACTGCTGCCCCGTGCAGGAGGGCAGAGCAGGGGTAGCTCTCTCCAGTGGTGTGCAATTGGAGCTGAGCCCTGGGCTGTTTTTGGTGCTGGACCTGCTGGGAAGGAGGTGTGGGGAAAAGTCTCACCGAGCTGCCGGAAGAGCAGAGCCACACTGCAGCTGCTGACGGGAAGAGAGTCATTGATGGGTGTCTGGATCACCTGCCTGTCCCCTGCACCCAGCGAGATCGTCCGCTGCAAGAGAATGCAGGAGGTGATGGGGAGGCACTCAGCACGGCGCCAGCACGAGGACCCAGGACCACAGTGCCCAAGAAGCAGCCCCGTGCCCCCCAGGACAGGGCTGGAGCACAGCGGGCACAGCCTCATCTCTTCTTCTCCTGGGCAGTTTTTCTCCAAACCACAGCACTGGGATGCCTGCAGGTCCTCGGCCTCCCTCCAGAGACACGAGGGCAGCACCGGCTCAACGAGCACTTCTCCAGGGCTGCGCTGCTCTGCAGTAGGTTTGGCCATGTGCCCCATCTCCCTGCTCAGCCCTGTGGGCTCAGGGGGCTGCTCCCAATAAAGGCTTCTGGCCGGACAGAGTCAGCACCCTGAGCTGCACCCGAGCAGCAAGCCGAGCCTCCTAACCATGGGGAAGCAATGCCATGGGGCAGGAACCAGCCCCGTGGATGTGGCAGCACCAGAGCTGCTTGCATGACCCTTTGACAGGAAGAAGAAAGGGGGCTAACGAGGACACAGACCCCAGAAAGAAAAGGTGTGCGTACCACTGCTTCGTCGTCCGCGTCAGGCTGAGATAGAGACAGACAAAGATAGCACAGTCGGTTAGAAAGGCACAAACACAGGGGGGACAGAGGCACAAAGCGGGGAGCAGAGCTCTCAGAGGAGGAGAGGTGCACACAGACAAAGCAAAGCAGCCACCACCACACTGAGAAAGAGCATTTGGACACAGCGGGAGCAGAGGGAAAGCACAGGGAGGGGAGTGCCATCAACACACCGTCCTCCCCGCAGGGTGCTGTGTGTCCCCATGGCACAGATGGATTCTGCCAAAATAGGGAGGTGACAAATGGCAGTGCCCAAAGCACAGCTCACTGCCTTCCTCCAGCTGTGTGCGAGCTCCAGCTGGGAGGAACCAGATGAGTTGGGATGTTGTTGGGTGCCTGCACCCAGCCAGGCATGGCCATGGGCTCAGTGATGGCTCACCTGCTTCTCCAGAGCACCAGGTGTGACTGGCAGCCAGCCCCAGGGCCAGCACTGCTCTGGAGCTCTGGTCAGCACAAGGTCAGCCTGAGAGCATAGTCTGTGCCTGGCACAAAGCACCCAAATCAATAGCCAGGGAGCAAAAACCCCCTTGGGGTCACAGGGCTGGCAGTGGGGAGAGCCTCTGCCTGCAGGCACAGAGCTGCAGTGCTGCCAGGCTCCTTCCCCCTGAGTGCTGCCTTTGGCTGAGTGCAGGGACACATGCCACCTCTGCAGCTGCCTTCCAAGTGTTAGTGTGGCAGAACAACTCCAGAGGGGCTGTGCTGCTGTCTTCAAACATCTTCTGTGAGAGGGTCTGCCTGGGAGCTGCCCACCTCTCCCATCTCCATCACTCATCCACCTGCTGCCCTCCTGGAGCAGGAGCACCTTCCACACCAGAACCAGAAGCTATCAACCTCATTTTGTGCCTTCTTTTCCAAGAGTCAGGTATGATATCTAAGTGAGAACTCAACTGCTGTGCTGCTTTAATGTTTAATGCTCAGAAAGCTTGGGAAGTTTGGACAGAGGAGTGTGAAAAAGCATCAGTGTCTTCAGGATGGGAGACACTCAGTACTGCTCCTCTGTTTTAGGACTACCTGAACACTGAAACACATGCCACTCGTTCCAAGTGCTCTGAAGACACAGCCAATGTTTCATCCATTTACCTATGCCCCAAATGTCTTTCCTATCTAAGTCTGTGCTCAAACCTTGGGACCACAGACATGCACAGCCTATGCCTGTTGACCCAGAGCAGTGTTCCTTGCGCTCAGATGGGCCCAAGAAGAGCAGCAGGACCTCTCTGATGCAGGGAGACCACAGACCACAGCAGGGATTTGCACAGCATGAACTGATCTACGCAGCTCCCAGGAAGGGGTGGAGGGAGAAGGAACAAAGCTGCTGACCCACGGCGAGGTGCTCTCAGCTGCCCTAGGGGCTGAGCTGCTCCAGCTGATGGAGCTGCATTGTTCTGCTCTACAGCACTTGGAAAGGTGCTGCCTGCACAAGCCAGGCCCTGCCAGCAGCAGGGCATGCAGCAGTCCCCCAGCAGCTGGTGCAGCGAGCTGCTGCCTGCAGGAGGGTCAGGCAGGCAGGAGCAGAACACAGCCACGCAGCATGGCTCTGCCCCATGCCATGGGGCTGGGAACGAGGCAGTGCAGGGAGGTTGGGAGGCACCCACCTGGGCTCCACCGGTGATGGGGATGGTGCACGTCAACAAGTTCCCAATGACGTTCTCCAGGGACACGTTCAGCCCATCCACGTAGATGGTGTAGATCAAGCCCAGGCTGTTCTGCAGAGGGAAGCACAGTGTGGCTTAGCGTTGCTGCAGGAACAGCCACCTCCTGGTCCCCAGCAGCACCACGCTGCCCAGTGCCTGTCCCCAAGAAGGAGCACAGCCATGGCTCCTGGCTGCAGTGCTTCAGGTCTTTCCTCCAACCTCTCCCCCTCAGCCCTTCCCAGCAGGGATGGGGTATACAGCACGCACTCTGCCTCCAGCCAGCAACACTGACCCTCCCCGCCATCCCCACTGGGTCAGCATGAGCAGAAGGAGGTTCCTGGTCCCTGCAGGTCTGCATCAGGTCCCACTCAAAGCCTCAAACACAGGGCATGAAGGAAGGAGCCATTTCTCTCCGAGGGTTGGGCACTGATTCCTCTCCACTGAGAGCCAGCATCAGCACCAGCACAGGATGCATCACGGGGCAGTGTCCAGCAGCACGTCCTCTGGGACATGGATTGGCTGCTGGAACACCCAGATTAATCAAGAATTTGAGGAATCTCTCTTCAAGGCACCCTCTGCTTTTTCTCTTCAAACCATCTCCCCACATCAGCAAGAAATCACAGAACCACACAACCATGAAGATTTGAAAAGACCCCTGAGAACACCCAGCCTGATCCCAACCCACCTCCCATGTGCCCACTGATCCCAAGTGCCCCACACTGGTGAAATAACAAGGGCTGGGAACCACTGGGAACAAACCTCTGGGGGAAATGTCTTTCTCTTGCAATAAACCAGATGACCCAATTTCAGCCAAAATCATCCCCAAGCATGAGCTGTTTTTCCCCACAACAGCCTGGCTCACCTGGCTTTGCCCTCCAACCCCAAACAAGCTGTGCATGTCAGAGCATCTCAGCTCTGCAGAGGCAAACCCCAACCAGAGGTGGCGATGCCATCTAACGAACTGCTCACAATAAGGGAAATGGACTCATGATCCAAGATCTCCGCTGCTCACATGTTCCCTTGTCAGTCTCACTGCTCTCACTTGCTGCTTTGTGACCACTTATCAGCCAACATGGGCCCAACTCATGGTCAGACACCTCCCAGCAACCCCCACCATCAGTACAAGCTGGGGGACGGAAGGAGCACTGTGTCCAGACGGGCAGTGCTCAGCACAACACAGACACCGACCTGGTGGCTTTCAGAGGGTCCCTCCAGCCCCAACCATTCTGTGACTCTATGAAGGTCCTCTCCAACTCAACCCATTCCATGATTCCATGAGTCTACAAAGGTCCCATCCAAACCAGAAACATTCCATGATTCTGTGATTCTACCTACACACACAGCACTGTGTTATAGTTCAGTGCCAGAGCACTGCACAGGCTGCCCAGAGGCCATGCAGCCTCCATTCCTGGACATCAGGTTGGGTATTGGGAACATTTCTTCCCCAAAGAGCAGTCAAGGACTGGTACAGACTGCCCAGGGCAGTGGGGGAGTCCCCATCCCTAGGCGTATTCAATAAATGTGGGGATGGGGCACGTGGGGACATGGTCAGTGAGCACAGTGGGTTGGGGTTGGACTTGGTGATCTCAGAGCTCTTCTCCAACCTGAATGGTTCTATATTTCTCTGATCTCTAACCCCCACCTGGAAGTGGTCCTTGGCACCCCTCTCCAGCTACCCTGTGCCTGAGCTGGGGTGGGAGCAGTCATCCCCATAGGATGTCCCTTCTAGAAAGCCTGAAGTTTGCAGCTTTAGGCTGAAGATTGGGGCATCCTGTGAAGCCTGACATTTGTAACAGAAGGGGTGACATTATTCCCTGACAGTCCTCAATCCCAGTGGCCGAATACCCTGATGGAACACCCCACTCTGGGACAGGCTAAGAGCAAGAGCTCCAAGCAGCTGCCCAGAAGCAATACCCCACAGTGGGAGGGAAACAAGGAGAATGGGGAGAAGTGTGATGGAGCTGTCCTCTTCCACATGGGGTGCTCAGCCAGCACCCAGGCTAGCAGCAAGTCTTCTGTATGCTCCAGATGGACTCCTCCTTTGGATCCCATGGACCACAAGCAGCAGTGCAAGGCAGCTGGTGCCACCTGCAAGCAGCTTGTGCCCTCCCAAACCTGTCACAGCCACATAACGCAGTGAGTTGGGAGAAAACAAAGGTGGCAGAGATAAAGGTCCCCAAAGGAACGGGCTGTTCTTCACGGGTGTTGCATTTACAGAATTGGGTGGCTGTGCAGTTCTGCAACGCTGGGTGCAGAGTTGGCCCCGTGCTAAGCTGCCAGCTGCTCCCAGCACTGCCAGCTCCATGCTGGGGCTGCTCACTGCTTCCCTTTGCCCCATGCACTCACCCTGAACACCTCGGCATGATCCAGCCTGGACACCAGCACCAGGCTCTTGGGAGCAAAGAGCTGTGCTGGTTGGACGGGAGAAGCCGATTCCTCTTCCTCCTCCTCTCCATTCCTGGTGTGGCTTTGAGGCTGTGGAGACACAGATATCAGCTCCAGCTCAGGCACAGACACCCTTCCCAATCCTTAATCCCAGGTTTTTCCACCAAGGGGACACCCAGAGAAGCCCCCACCCCTTTCCCAGCCCCACACCCACTGTACCTGTGTGCTTTCCACAGCCTCCCAGAAGGTGAAGCAGGCGCAGTAGTGCCTCTCTGAGTTGATGTCGGTCAGCACGGCCACGAAGAAGGTGGGGGGGTTCCTCTCTGTGAACAGCTGCCAACCACTGGGCTGGCAGAACTGCGAGACAGGGCAGGGGATTGGGTCAGCAGTGTGGATGGGGCTGCACGTTGCCCCATGCCCCTCTACTGCTGCAGGAAAAGTGGGGCTGGGTGCTGCAGGGCTAAAGCATCAGTATGTTAGCAACTGTATTTCTCTTAAAGCCCAAGCACAGCCCCACATTAACCTCAGGGAGTAGATTTAACCCAGCCCAAAGCAGGGCACGATGCTCCGGGAGGTGGCACTCCTCGCATTGCCAATGCAGCCCCACAGTGCTTCACTGCTTCCTGGGGACTTCCCGAGTGCCTGTGGGTAATTCCAGCCCCAGAACTTCTCACGTGGTTTCCAAATCTCAAGGGATTTTCCTGCCCTTCCCCTTCTCAGCATCTGCATTGGGTTGGTGAGCGCTGGAAAATTCCCTGATGTTCTCGGGACTCCATGGGAAGAGCAGAATAACAGCGGTTTCTGAGAGCAGGGTGACAGGAGGGAGGTTGAAAACAGGGCAGCAGGGACAGGATGGCCCCAATGTCAGCTCCAGCCCTCGGTGAGTGAAGCAGTTTCTAACCTACTGCAGTTCTGAAACCCTTGGCCGCTCTCCGTGCCCCATAATCACACTCTATCTACTCCAGGACACACATCCAGCTCTACTCTGACATAGCACAAGGCAGCCCTGCTGCCCCAAGCCTGTAGTGCTACACAGGGCTGTTGGATCCCTCCAAATGTCACACCTCTCATTTGGCCTCACTGACTGCTACGCAACATCGATCCCACCTATCCAGATCCTTCTGTCAAACCACCACAGAATCTCTGAAGTTCCCAGAATCAACCCTACAGAACCCAAACCATTCTGTGACTCTATGAAGGTCCCCTTCCAATTCAACCCATTGTGTGATCCTATAAAGGTCCCTTTCAACTCAACACATTCTGTGATCCTATGAAGATCCTTTCCAACCCAAATCATTCTATGATTCCATTAAGGTCCTTCGAACTCAAACCATTCTGTGACTCTATGAAGGTCCCTTCCAATTCAACCCATTGTGTGATCCTATAAAGGTCCCTTTCAACTCAACACATTCTGTGATCCTATGAAGATCCTTTCCAACCCAAATCATTCTATGATTCCATCAAGGTCCTTCGAACTCAAACCATTCTGTGATTCCATGAAGGTCCCTTCCAACTCAAATCATTCCATGATTTCAGGAACATCCCTTCCAATCCAAAACATTCTATGATTCCATGAAGGTCCCTTCCAACCCAAACCGTTCTGAAATCCAATGGTCCCTTCTAACTGCAATCATTTTACGATTCCATGAAGGTTTCCAAGCCAAATCATTCTATGATTCTATGAAGTACCCCTTCCAACCCAAATCATTCTGTGATTCCATGAAGGTCCTTCGTACTCAAACCATTCTGTGATTCCATGTGTGCAAGGCAGACCTGCACTATCCTCCTGCAGACCGACGTATGGACAAAGGCTACAGGCCACAGAGGAGGAATTGCACCAACACACACACCAGAGCAGGAGGAACCAGCAGGCACAGCCCTCTGCAACAGCCTTACAACCTTCAGCATCAGCAGCAACCCTCGTTGCTGCAACGCACACCTCACTGGAGCAGCTCAAAGCTCCCAGCTCAAAGCTGCACTGACACCCATAAAACCGTGCACCCAGCTTGGAGACAACCATCCTCAACCATTGGGCACGAGCAATGCTCCCAAAGCAAGAAGTGCTCACGTCCTGTGTCTGTAGAGGAGCTTCCACTGAAAAACCACAAAGATTTCTGTCTGGAAATGCTGTCAGCAAGCAGGAGCAGAAGCTACGACACCAGAAATTGCTCTCCTTGCATAAGCCATTCAGTGCTGATGCGACCACACCATAAAGCACCACACAAGCCCCTCACAGTGAGGTCGGCCCCATTTTCCCAAATTGCCTTGGTTTCAGCTCAAAAGCTGAAGGGCTTCTGACAACTCAGGAACGCCTCAGAGCCACCCAGCAGCTCCCAGAAGGACGAGACTGCTGTTGTTTAGATTCCATGGATTTTTTGGCTGGATGATTCGACCCTTGGGAAAAAAAGCACAACTTTCCTCTTCCTTGGAACGATTCCCGAGTGCCCTACAGACAACAAGGAAGCACGAAGCAGAAAAATCATGTCTATTTTTTGCCTCAGACAAAGTAAATAGCAAAGTCCAGAGCTGTGATGGAATTGTGGTGAGTGTGAGACAGAAGAAGGGTTCACCACTGCTGCTCTGACAGTGCGGCACGCTCACTGCTGGGTGTGATGCAGTGCAGCAGCCACACGACACCTGGATGAGGTATGGGATGAGGACAGGGACTGAGAGACACATCCAGCTCTGATGTTCTCTGCTCAGTGGGCTGCTTGCTCCTAACAGGAGCTCGCTGGAAGCTTTCTCTTGCAAACGCCAGCAGTGCCCAGTAGTTTCCAGGTGAGCATGAGGAGAGGTGATGGCCTGAAGATGTGCCAGGGGAGGGTCAGGTTGGATGTTAGGAAGCATTTCTTCTCCAAAAGAGCAGTCAGCACTGGCACAGGTTGTCCAGAGCAATGGGGAGTCTATGTCTCTTGGTGTTTTCAAGGAACATGAGGATGTGGCACTTGGGGAGACAGATGGGCATGGTGGGATGGATCAGTGGTTGGACTGGATGATCTTGGAGGGCTTTTCCAATCTGGATGATTCCACAGTTCTATAATTCCAAGAGGAGGGGGTGTCCTATCAGCCTCACAAGGTCACAGCCAGCGTGGAGGTCCTCCAGCACCAGCACCCATGGGATGATGGAGATGGTGGCCAGCTCTGAAGGATACCATGAAAGGTTGGAGGTGGCCAAGGCAAAAGTCAGGCTGCCGAAGACCCACAGCACAGGGGGTCAGGAGGAGGGGGGCAGGCTGTGTTTGTTGGTGCCCAGCACCAGGACAAGGGGCAGAGGGCACAGACTGGAGCCCAGGGAGTTCTGTGTGAGTGTGAGGAAGAGCTTTGTGCTGTGAGGGTGGCAGAGCCCTGGCACAGCTGCCCAGAGAGGTGGGGGAATCTCCTTCTGTGCAGAGATCCAAACCTGCTGGGATGCTCTGTGTGCAGCTGCTGCAGGGAACTGCTGGGGGGGTTGCAGTGGGGGAGTTGCACAGGTCCTTTTCAGCCCTCATGGTTCTGGGGTTCTGTGCTCTAAGGAAACACACTTCCAAGGCCAAGCCCTCTGTGCAGCAAAGTAGTAGGGACAAGCCTGGATGGGGACTGGGTGCACCACCCACTTCTGCACCAGGAACCCATAACTGAGTGGTGCAGCTCTGGCAATGCTCCCCAGAGCTGTGGGTGCCCCATTCCTGGAGGTGCTCAAGGCCATAGATGAGGCCCTGGGCGGCCTTAGTTTGCAGAGGGCACCCATCCCATGGCAGAGGGCCTGGATAGCCACTTCCAACCCAACTTTTGTATCATTCTATAGTTCTGCGACTGTCCTGGCCAGCACTACATCTGCTTGGAGATCACCCTCAGCATGTCCCCAGTGGAGCAGCAAGGTGCTGCCTCTGTGGCACTAAGGACAGCAGAAAGGGCTGTGGGTAGCATTTCCACACCCCCACATCCTTCCAAGCATGGGGGGCTCTCAGTGGCACCACCTCTCAGTGCTGCAGCACAGGGTTTGCTGTGGGAACAGGCACCCCTGGAAGCAGGAGGAGCAGAGTGAGGGGAACCACAAGTCATATGGGCCCCAGGATTATCAGGGTCATAAGACAGCATAGAGCCCTCTGAAACCCCACTTGTCTTCATGTTCTGTGCCATGCTTCAGCCAGAAACGAAGAAGATCTGCAAAGGGGAAGAGGAGTGCAGAGCCTCGCCAGGTTGGAATCCACACTGCTGTCCTCCAGAGCAGGGAGAGATGCAGCAGGGAAAGGTTTTCCAAGAACTTCTGTTCAAACTTAGAAACGGAGAACAATCCTCTTAGCCTTGATTAGTTAAAAGCTGGTTTGCAAAGAACCCACACAGTGCCAAATTGAGCTGGGTGTGCCACTCTCTGGGTACGGCCCAGCAGTGTGTACAGCCTCAAAGGGCCGTGCAGCAGCAGGAGAACACGACTGGAGGGTGGGGAAAGAATATCAAAGGATGCCACCCCCCTTGGCACACAGATGTTAGCAAAGCACATCCAGGCCTACAGCAGGGCGAGCTCCCATAGGGGAGCTGCAGCAATGGAAGGTTTTGCAGGGGGGGGCTGTGGTGGGCACGAGGGGGTCTCAGAGGGGCAGACTCACCAACTCGATGCCTTGAGGAAAGGGGTTGTCCTCCCAGTCCTTCTCGGGGAAGCGCTGCAGGATCTGTCCCTGGCCGTCCCCGCTCCCTGTAGGAACAAGAAGGGCATTAGGGGCTGAAGCTGCGTGCCTGGCCACAGCAGGACTGACCCCAGCCCCCTGCACTCGCCCTGGCACCGCTCTCTGTCAGCAGGTGTCCCATCCAGCAAAGCAGAAGTGCAGCGGTGCTCTGGCCAAGTGTAATGTGAAAGTTTCCTTCCTTCTGCTCCTTATCTCTAACTTAGCTCTTGACATTTCCCTGAACAATGGAACCAAGCTGCTCAGTGTTTTTTTGAGCTCCCCTAGGGCTCGTGGCTGCCCCACGGCTTCACATCCTGAAACCCACACCGCTGCTAAAGGGCACTGCCCATGACTTCCCCTGGCTGGGCCAAACCCCAGCAAAGTGAGCGGCCTTCAAGTCATTCCCTGTCCATGCTGCCCCTGAGCACAGAGATGGGGATGTGGGGAATGAAGCCAGCACTGCTTAAGGTCACAATGCTGCAGCACGGAGTCAGATGATGGCAATGAAAACCCCGGGGGTTCTGCTCCTGCACAGCTTCTGCAAAACACCTGCAGAGGGGATGGCTGTGCTAAGGGATCTGCATTGCTGCAAGACCCAACATCAGCTCTGTCCTGGGGGTATGGACATCCCCAACCCCTGCAGGAGGAACCTGATGGGGGAGTGTGTGCTGCAGGAGTGATATTTTCAGCACCCATCCCCAGCACCACCGCCCCATTCACCACTGTGTGGCCACAGCTGAATTTAGCAGGACACAGCATTGGGAGGGATGCCACTTTTAGTCCAAAAGGACCAAAATGGAAAGGTCACTGCCAAATTAAGAGGAAAACGGTGCTGAGAATCACGTCAGTCAAACCCTGTGCTCAGAGCTAGCTCCAGTGGCCATGCAGGGAACCCAGAGAAGATGTGCCAACACTGGGACACGGTGCTGCTGCTGCCACGCACACAGCACTGCAGCTAGCTCTGTGCAGTGGGGACAGGTGCTCTGTGCTTGGCTTGCTGTTGGTCACAGAATCATAGAATCATTCAGGTTGGAAAAGACCTCTGAGAGCAACCCCAGCCCATCCCCACCGTGCTCATTATGTGCTACATCTCTGCAGTTTTGAACACCCCCAGGGATGGAGACCATCCCCACTACCCTGGGCAGTCTGTGCCAGAGCTGACTGCACTTTGGAAAAGAAATTGTTCCCAGTCTTCAACCTGGCCCTCCCCAGCACAATGTGAGGCCATTCCCTCTTACCTTAGGAAGAGCACAGAGCTCTTCCTCACACTCACACAGAACTCCCTGGGCTCCAGTTGTGCCCGCTGCCCCTTGTCCTGGTGCTGGGCACCACCAAACACAGCCCAGCCCCCTCCTCCTGACCCCAACCCTTCAGATATCCACCAGCACTGCTAAGACCCCCTCAGCCTTCTCTCCTCCACGTGCACAGCCCTGGGGCTCTCATCCTGACCTCAGCAGGAGCTGCTCCAGGCCCCACCATCTCTGCACCCTCAGCTGGGCTCTCTCCAGCAGTTCCCAGTTTGCCTGGAACTGGGGAGACCCACGGTGGGTGCAGTGCTGCAGCTGTGCCCTCCCCAGTGCAGAGCAGAGGGCAGGAGCACCTCTCTGCCCTGCTGGCCACGCTCTGTGCAGTGCACCCCAGGGTCCCATTGGACTTCTGAGCCACCAGTAGACCCAGGGCTTTCTCTGCAGAGCTCCTTGCCAGCAGCTCAGCCTCAGTATTTAGAAACCTCTGTGCTTTCCTTGGCATGTATGCGTGTCTGGTGCTGGCGCAGATGCCACGCTTTGCTCCTTCCTTCCTGCCCCTTGGTGAGGCCAGCAGCATTGGATGGTAACACCTGGACACTGCTGCTGGGGCAGTCTGGACTGCCAGGGTTAAAGTCAGGCTATAACAGGAAAGTTTATGAGATCTTATCACAATACAGGAAACTCTAAATAAGCAAAAAGTTAAACATTCGGCTGACGCACCACAAGCAGTGACCTTAAGTCCAGGCAGGCAGTGCTGGCACACTGGGGACAGTGGGGACAATGGGGACAGTGGGGACAGTGCTGGCTGGGGAAGTGACAGCAATGGGGAGACCTCAGTGCAGCTCTCAGTGCCTGAAGGGGCTGATACACATCAGGAGAGCAGTTTTGTACATGGGCAGAGAGCAATGGGACACGGAATGGCTTTAAACCAATAGAGAGGAGATAGAGGTGCTGGGCAGGGTAAGTGTAGGAGGCAAGGAGCTGCAGCTCTGTTGCCATTCTGTTTTTCTGTGATCTTTAAGGACCCTTCTAACACAACCATCCTGTGGCTGTATGACCTCTGAAGACCCTTCCAACCCAACCATCCCACAGCTCTGTGATCTTTCAGGACTTTTCCAATCCAAGACATCCTAGGGTTCTTATGGCCTTCAAAGTCGCTTTCAACACAACCATTCCTGTGATCTTTAAGGACCCTTCCAACCCAACCATTCTATGCTTTGCAATCTTCAAGGACCTTTCCAACCCAACCCAACCATTCTATGCTTCTGCAATCTTCAAGGACCTTTCCAACCCAAACATTCTATGCTTCTGCAATCCTTAAGGTGTCCATCCCAACCACTCTATAGTTCTGTGATTCTAAGGACCCCTCCAACCCAACCATCGCATGGCTCTACGATTGGTGATTACAGGCTTCAAGGAGCTCCCCACACCTCAGAGCTGACATGTCAGTAAGTTCAGCTGTCTGAAAGCACCATGGAGTACTTCAGGCCACAACAGCACTAAGCATAGTCATATAGGTGGTTTCCTTCACACCAGCATTAACCCCCATGACACAAAACCGTGGGATGATCTGGAAGGGGACCTGGGGCTTCTGCACAGAGCTCACTGCTCACACCCAACACCACCTCCAAGCCCTCTGTGCTGCTCCTGGTGACCCCGGATCCTCGTGGGGCCATGTAAGCAGCACTTGGGCAACCACCCTGCAAGCAGTGCGAGTGATTGCATCAACTGAGGCTGCTGTCAAATGCCAGGACAGCTGGCACTGCCCACTGGCACTGGGTGTTCCTCAGAGCAGACTGTGTTTAATGCCAGCCGGTATCAGAGTGCACAAGGTGTCTGAGATTACAAGCCCACAATGCTGAGCTGCTGTGATGAAGTTAGGAATGATGCAAAGAGCAGAGTATGAGGCAGGACTGCAGAGAATGGCACAACTCTGAACTGAGCCTACCTACATGCATGAGCCCACCACAAGGCAGGCGCAGCATGGGGCTCCCAGCTCCTGCCAGTGGGGCTCACATAGGAGAGCAGAACAAGGCTGCAAAAGCATGAGGTTCAACACATCCCTGTGCACAGTGCAGGTGGCACGTCACGCTAGCAGCACAGCTCCTATCACAGAGCCATAGAACCACAGAATGGTTGGGTTGGGAAGGTCCTTCAAGATCACAGAACTATGGAATCCCATGGTTCATGTCTAGCTTCTCACCTACCAGGACCCAATCCATGGGGTGAACACACACCCACAGCCTGAGTGCTCCCACAAAGCCTTCATCACTGCACAGCCCCCACCTACAGCTGCTGCTTTGCTTTCACCTTCACACCAAGCCAACACTGGCTCTCATTTCCCCTGCTTTGCTGTCATGCATCAACCCAAGGGAGCAGATCTGTGGACAGACAACCTCCCCCTTGCCCCATCCTTCTCATTTCTGTCTTTCAGCAGGAAGCACCTTTGAGGTCTGTCCCAGTCACACAATCTTCGTGTGGAGGCTTTTACATTCACTCCCCATGTTTCCTGCAAGAAGATCTGTCACACACCAAGTGGATGGGATGGGATTGGGGTGGGATGGGGATGGGGATGGGAATGGGAATGGAGATGGGGATGAGATGAGATGGGATAGGGATGGGATAGGATGGGGATGGGATAGGATGTGGAAGGGGATGGGATGACTGCTGGGCACTGTGGCTCAGCCAGGTCAGCACACCAGGCAGTCAAGGTGCTGCAGCCCATGGACATCTGCTCCTACTTCCAGGAGAGCAGGGAATAACTCGGGGGATTTGTAAAGCTGTGCAGAAAGAGAATGGGGCAGAAAGTGGGGATGCACATGCCTGAGGTGGGCTCAGGTGGGACAGTGAGCTCAAAGATCCAGTTTCTGACTTCCAAATCCTGCCCCAAGCCTTGCTCCTTCCTCAGCACCCACTCACCCCATTGGCAGGGCCACTTAAGGAGCAGCAACAAGATGGAATCACAGAACCGTTCAGGTTGGAAAAGACCTCTCAGATCACCAGGCCAACCCCAAACTACCCCTACCATGCCCACTAACCATGTCCTCAAATGCCACATCCCCACCGTTCTTGAACATCACCAAGGCTGGGGACACCCGACCCTGAGCAGCCCGTGCCAGAGCCCGACTGCACATTCAGAGATATCCAACCCTGCACATCCTCAGCTTTGCAACAAACACCACAAAGCAGCCAGAGTGCTGTCCCTCCCACTTGGCAGGAGATGTCCCAGCACAGCGGATGTCCCTGGGGTGAGCTCCGTGCCCCCCATCACAACCACAGCCCCGTGGGCAGCGCGCAGGCAGCCCTGTCAAAGCCACCTCGCCGCAGGGCACGGCAGCGCTGGGACAACACGGCGAGTGTCTGCCCCGAGACAATGGCACCACTGTTCCCTCCTTACATATTTATGACACAAACACGAAGAATGGCTTTTCTATGGGGGAGCACAAAAGGGCTGTGTGCCGTGCTGGAGCTGCCCGTTGCGCCCTGCTCCTCGGAGGGAAGCCCGCCCGCGCCCCACATCCCCGGCACGTCCCCAGCACGGTGCTCCATGAGCCAACTGCTTGCTGCTGTTGTGGGCATCAACTGGATCTGTGCTGCCCTGAGCTGTTGCCATGTCTGTAGGCACAGGGCTCAGCCAAACCCTGGGTCATAGCAACCCCTCACCATGAGCTGGGGGATGGAAGGATGGAGCACAGCCCTGCCAAAAAGGCCCTGTGTGGGGGGACAGCTGAGGGCAGCACTGTGCCCTCAAAGCACTGAGAGCCAACCACAGCCTGGCTGCA